GATCAATCAAGGGCAGAAAAAACGCCCCTGCCCTGGTTTACCAGGCGCTGTGCGCTGAAACTCCTGTGGGCTGACAGGGTAAACCCTGCGTGATGTGCCGCGTCCTGGCGGCTTTAGGCTGTGGGGGTTCCCAGGAGGTCTACAGACCACGCACTCATAACCCAGGGTAGGGTCGTTTTTTCATCCCTCAAATCAAAGGCTGCGCATGACCTGCTGTCGTGGACAGCACACAGGGAGATCAACGCGAGAAAATGGTACAACGGTTGGCGCCCGGCAGGGCAAGAGGGACGAGCCCGGGCCCGCCCGCCTCCCAGCCCCCTTGCGTCCCTCGGCGCCCCCCCCCCCTCGCCCTAGCCTCCGGCAGCCCTTCCTTGATGGTGGCGATGCTGTTGCCGACGATACTCCCCACGATGCCGATGATGCTGCCGATGATGATACCGACGATGACGATGACAATGACGGTGACGGTGTTGCTGTTGAGGATGCCGGCAATGACGATACTGAGATCGATGGTAATGATGCTTATGCAGATGACGGTGGTGACGAGGGTGCCAGCGCTATGATATACGATGATGATGATCATGATGATGCTGTTGCTGCTCATGATGGTGTAAGTCATATACTTGTAATAATGATGACGACGGTTACGTTGATGTTGACGTTGAGTATGAGGGGATGATGATGGTGATGGTGAGGAGGAGGAGGAGGAAGAGGAGGAGGAGGAGGAGGAGGAGCAGCAGGAGGAGGAGGATGAGACTGGCTAAGGTGCTGGCGGGAGTGCGATGCCGGGGTCTTCGTTGTTCGCAACATCCGCTACAAACTCACGCAGGAGAAGGTACCCTCTGGGTTCGCTCTGTACGACTGCGTGGGGATGGACTTGATTTGCGACTCCAGGAGTCGTCTGCCTCACTCCTCCTTCCCTCCCCTCTATTTCAGTCCTCCTGGCCTCCTGTTCCTCCTCATTCTCATCCCCTCTCCTTCTAATCGCACTTTGGGAATCATCAATCATCTGCTCAACGCAGACGGTGGCCATTAAGATTAAGTGGAATAGTAGGTTGGTCTCACGTTGAAGGGTACGAAGGTTGCATGGGTGGAGGGCGGCACAATGAAGTATGAACAGGAGGGGGAGCAGGTACAGGAAGCAACCGAGAAATACATGGAGGATTGGATTAAGAAGCGGTGTACTGATGACAATTGACGTGAGGATATTATTACATCAAGTCATGCATGTGGGGATTTCCCTTTGGCAGCGCTGCGCGGCGTGAAGACGCGGCACACACAGGAGAGATCATCAAGTACAACATTTGATAACAAATACTCCATTCAGACAGCATTAGATTACATATTTTTCATCTGAATGTCCAGAGTCCCATTTCCGACGACCCGATGGCAGAACTATTATTGGAATTACAGAATTTGCAATGGAATCTCGCGTGCTTGAACGAGACGTGACGGCCTGAAGCAAGAGAGTATTTTATTTTGCATGGTGGACACGCCTTAGCCGGATGCGGCTGGGATCATCAATCATGAGGTGTCGGAGAGTTTCTTCACAGTCGAGGGGCACCTCGCGTGCGATCTTTTACAATATTGTCTGAAAGAGCATGTTTCGTTGATGCAGCGTGTGGATCTTTGCGCACGCGGTTGGCCACTGCCTTCGCTCCCGCTATGGGGATACACACGTGCAGGGTTCGTAGGATTCTCTATCGGAGACTCACCGGGAAGCGCACTTTAAGCGATATTGTTTTGTTCTGATTGGCGAGTTCAGCGTGGAAGGGGGTAGCAGAGAAGAGGACGACATACGAAACATTACTGAAGTACACGGGCTCGGGAAAGCGAATGCTCGAGGCCATTGGTTGACACATTGGGCGTGCATCAGACGGCTTAGCATTGCAAGCATGTTTTTCTCCAAGATACGGGAGTGCACGGTAACACATACAAGTACAATCGGCAATACCAGACCGACTGGCCATATTTTTGCTTGATGTGAAAATGCTACCGCAGGTGAAGTACTCTTTGCGCTAATGTGTCACTGAACATGGGAAGCGACCGCACATGCGTCATTACCAAGCTGAGGCATGCCAGGAGGCATTGGCGCGACAAGAAGACAACCACAAAACAAAGCATGTATTGGGCGTCCGTGCATGCGCGTGTTTGCGCAGTGTCTCGTGACGAGAAGGCTGCAAAGACGGTGAATCCAGATACGGCGATTGTTGGAGCAACGGGAAACTTTACAATGAAACCGATGTTTGGAAAGGACATTGCCGAGTAGGCAAGTATCGGAAAAAAGGTCCGAGCACTGCGACGAGAACGGGCCGCATCAACAATTGGTGCATGTTTTTTTGCGAGTTCGAAAGACAGTCAAGCGGAAACATGTTATCACACATACGGTGGACGGCGCTGGAGGCATTTATACCGACCAGCAGTCGATCGCCAATGCTTTGACTGAGTTTCACTCAGAACTGTATTCATTTGCAAAAAACAAGCCGTCCCAACATTCTATTGACCTTCTAAAGACATCCTGGAGTTCACGCTCGACGAGCTGAGGGTCGAAATCCGAATGCTACAGCGAGGCAACTGCGAAGACGCACGTGGAGTCATGGCGGAGATCATCAAGGACGGTGGGGAAACAGTTGAAAGACTTGTGTTGCTGCAGCTGCACAACATCAGTACGTCGCCAAATAGTCTGCCACCACAGGCATCGAACAAATCGGTCGTCACCGTGCTGCACAAGTCTGGCGACCCCGCGACAACTTCGAAGTACATGCCAATTGCAACAGTACCAATTCTATACACATTGTTTGTGAAGTTGTTGCGCTCGAGGTTGTGCCCCGCGTTCGACAAGCATCAAGCCGCAGCTAAACCAAGCTGGTTTCAGAATTGGTGTTGGCACGTCGCGTTATCTCTTTGCCGTGACAGCATTATAGGAGAAGTGGTACGACTGGCAACAACATCTTTTGATATCTATCATCGACTTCAAAAAGGGTTTCGACTGCGTAGATCACGAGAGCATGTTGCAAGCGCTGACCCGACAAGGGGTATCCTATGGATGCGTTCGACTGCTGTGGATGTTCTTTTCTGAACCATCAGCTGAAGTGAATATTTACAAATATAATAGTCCGTATCGTGTCCTGCGGGGCACGAAGCCAGGATACCATTTGAGCAGCCTGCTCTGCAATGCTTAAATGGAAGATGTTTCCGGTGATGTCAAGAAAACTTGGCATGCGAAGCGCTGGGGCCTCAACACCTGTAAGACCAATTTGTGGCGACTTACTAACCTACGGTTCGCTGGTGATGTCATGCTCGTTGCAACTACACTGAAGCAGATCGGGGGCGTGCTTGCAGACGTCCGCGCAGCAGCTGGCAGACGTGGATTGAAATTGCTTCCAGATGACAAGAATATTCGGTATAACAATACCACAGAGACTGGGCGCCCCACGGAGTAGAGTATACGGGTTGGTGATCTGCGCGGTGACGTTGTACCTCACGGTTGTCATGTCAAGTGTTGAGGCCAGAATGTTTCGACCGCCCACGCGAGACCGAGTCGGGCAACGGAATCGGGGCAGTTTGGAACATATTTCTGTCTCAGCGCTCGATTCTGAGTGATTGCAGGTATTCGCTTACTGCGAGGCTCTTCGTTTTCGAATGTACAGTATCTTCGACGGTCTTTCATGGGAGCGCAAGGTGGGTGCTTACGAAGGACTTGGAAGACAAACTACGCAGAACAGAAAGGAATATGCTGAGGATAGTTCTGAGGAGCAGAAGGCACCACCAACTGAACAAGAATATGCTCATCCATCGGTGGAAAAATGCGGATGTGCCGGACACCGTGGAGGACGTTTTAGAGCCGTGGCTGGATTTGATCAAACGCACGATCCATGAGGCAGAACGGAATTTGGGCAAGTTGTCTTTGCATGATTATGTTGGCTCACGCAAGCAGGCGGTGGTGCGATGGTTGGACGCACTACGGGCAGGCGCAAGCACGTGGGCCCAGATGACTTTGCCATGGCACCCAAACCGTATGACACGGAGAGCTGCGCGACCCGGCCGGCGATGGGAGGACGCAGCTGCATAGTACCCACTTTCAGCGCCTGTAACATGCTGAGCTTGTTCCACTGGGCCTGGGGGCCCGCCGCGCTGCCCGCCAGTGGGCCGTCCTTGGACGTTCGGCGCGTGTCTGTCTGTCTGTGTCTTTGAATCGCACACTCCACTCTTTCTCACTCCTCACTCCTTGCTCACACCTGGCTCACTCTTGCCTCCTCCCTCATCTGTCGTGCTTCCACCGCTATAACCCTTTTTCTTCCTCCCTCCATCCTACCCCTGTCCTCCTCCTCCTCCACCCCCTTTCTGCTTGTCGTCGTCCTCCTCCTCCTCGTCGTCATCCTTCCCTTCTTCTTTCTTTTCTTCTTTCTTCTCCACTTCTTCCTTCTGCTGATCTGCCTCTCCTTCCTTCCCTCATCTCTCTCCGTCCTCCTCCACCGTCCTCCTCCGTTATCCTCTATCTTCTCCTCTTCTTTCTTCTCCTCCTTCTTCTCCTTCTCCTCCTCCTCCTTCTCCTCGCCTTCCCCCTCCTCCACCTCCTCCTCCTCCTCCTCCTCCCCCTCCTCCTCCTCCTCTTCGAACCCCTAGACTATCCTAAGAGAATGCCACGGTTCAGTAGCACGCCGCCGAGGCATCCTGGGACCTCCGATCCCTGCCGCTGCTTGTCCACCTCGAGAGGCGGCCGCCGCCACCGTCGTCGTTGCCGCCGCCTCGGCCGTCGCCTTTGTCGTCGTCGCGTTTGTCGTCGTCGTCGTTGTCGTCGTCGTCGTCGTCGTCGTAGTCGTCGTCGTCTTCGTCGTCGTCGTCGTCGCCGCCGCCGCCGCCGCCGTCGCCGTATTCCGCCGCTGCCGTGGTCGGCGTCGCCGCCGCCGCCGTCGCCGTCGTCGCCGGCGATGATAACGACGGCGTGGCGGCCCTTCCTCAGAGGAGAATCGACGGCATCATGGACAGGATTGGTCCAGGCCTGCCGCCGAGCCCCAGCGGGGCCCCCGAGTGGCAGGCGGCCTGGGGCGTCCCGCGGGTGTTGATCATCTGGGGAACCATGAAGAGGTGCTTCTCCCTGTCCTCCTCATCCTCGTCCTCCCCCTCCCCTTCCCCGCCTTCCTCCTCTTCGGAGACAGTGTTCTCGAACGGTATCCTTGTGTATGCTGCCTGCCGTTCCTACCCTTTTCCTGCGGCTATTGGGGCTGAAGGAGCTCCTGTTCGCGCCCGCATGGGACACGCATACATACTGCATTAACTACAATTGCCCCAGCACGACCCTACCTAGAAGTTGGAGCCCCTAAGAAAGCAGCAGTAGTTGCTATGCTATGCTATGCTATGCCATGCCATGATATGCTGCGCTATGCTATGCTATGCTATGACATGTGATGCTGCGCTATGCTATGCTATGCTATGCTATGCTAAGCTATGTCATGCTGCGCTGTGCTATGCTAAGCTATGATATGCTATGCCATGCTAAGCTGCGCTGTACTATGCTATGCTATGCTATGCTGCGCTATGCTATGCTATGCTATGCTATGATTGGCTATGTTATGCCATGCTATGCTATGCTAATGCAGCGCTGCGCTATGCTAAGCTAAGCTAAGCTAACCCTCTAGGCAGAGCCTAGGTAGGAAATTACACTAATGCTAATGCTATGCTATGCTCTGCTATGCTATGCTATGCTATGCTGCGCTGTGCTATGCTGTGCAGTGCTGTGCTGCGCTATGCTATGCTATGCTATGCTGCGCTATGCTATGATATGCTGGGCTATGCTATGATATGCTGTGCTGCGCTATGCTATGCTACGCTATGCTATGCTGTGCTCTGCTATGCTATGCTAAAGCTCAGCGAAGCTAAGATGAAGGTAAGCTAAGCTAAGATAAACCTGAGCTAAGATGAAGCTAAACTAAGCTAATATTAAATAAGCTAAGCTAAGATGAGATAAGCAAGGCTAAGCTAAGGGGACGTAACTGGGGGAACCGCGGGGCGGATACTGGGGGAACCGCCTGGGGCGCTTTCCACTGCCCGGCCCCTTTAAGCCCAGAGAGTAATTATCCCAGTGCGACCCTACCTAGGAGTTGGAACCCCTAGGAAAGCAGCATTAGTAGTAACAGTAAGACTAAGCTAAAGCTAAGCTAAAACTAAGGTAAAGCTAAACTAAAGCTAATCTAAAGCTAAACTAAAGCTAAGCTAAAGTTAAGCTAAAGCTAAACGAAAGCTAAGCTAAAGCAGAGCTAAAGCGAAGCTAAAACTAAGCTAAATCTGAGGCACATCTAAGCTAAAGCTAAGGCAAAGCTAAGCTAAAGCTAAGCTAACGCTAAGCTGAAACTAAGCTAACGCTAAGCTAAATTTAAGCTCAAGCTAAGCTAAAGCTAAGCTAAAGCTAAGCTGCAGCTAAGCTAAAGCTAAGCTAAAGCTAAGCTAAAGCTAAGCTAAAGCTAAGCTAAAGCTAAGCTACAGCGAAGCTACAGCAAAGCTAAAGCTAAGCTAAAGCTAAGCTAAAGCTAAGCTAAAGCTAAGCTAAAGCTAAAGCTAAAGCTAAACTTAAAGCTAAATCGAAAGCGAAAGCTAAAGCTAAGCTAAAGCTAAAGCTAAGCTAAAGCTAAAGCTAAAGCTAAAGCTAAGGCTAAAGCGAAAGCTCCCAGGGGACTGGGGGAACCGCTCCCAGGGGACTGGGGGAACCGCCCGGGGCGCTTTCCACTGCCCGGCCCCTTTAAGCTAGAGAGTAAGAACCCTTCTAGGCAAAGCCTAGGTAGGGAAAAACCCTTCTAGGCAGAGCCTAGGTAGGGAAAAACATTTCGCTACTGTACAGCCGCATTCTTAGTAGGTGTTGGAGAAACAATCCGATCTATCCTTGTTACTGCCATAGCCCGCGTGGCATCTCCTTCAATTTTGTGCTTTGCTTCTCCCACCCCATGATTTAGTTTGTGTTCGGCAAGAATCCGCTGGATTCTCCTTCCCGCCGCATTCATGGTCCTCGTGCCCGCTCAATCGGACCACGAGGACCCCTTGTTTCGATAAGCACAACTCCGAAAACCACAAGGACGTTTACCTGGACACCAACGTTTTCGAAAACTACGAGGGACGCGGCGCCCACCACCCGCTGCCGCAGCCGGCACTCCGAGGTGCAAGAGAGCGACTACAACGACTAGAACAACTGAAACATACTATGCGTTGATCCCCTCCTGCGTGCTGCCTTCTAGGTGACATCACAATCACACATGCCCTCTTCGACGCGGGGTGGGACGCGCAACCGCGTCAGTATACAGAGCAGTCCTCGTGCAACCAGCCAACGCCAGCATTCTCAGCCCGTCGCACCAACCAGTTTTGCCAACGCGTCGTGCTTGAAGTTTCTCGCATGTCCTTCAAAAACCTCCACCAAGGCTTCGGCGATCTTGCGGGGCGGGCCGGCTTTTGCACAGTAGAGCCGCATGGTGACGCAGCCAAGTACGCAATGACCCGAATCAATCCAGAGCGCTTTTATTTGACAAGCCGCAGCGGCCCCAGTCACCAGAGCTTCCAGTACGAGAAAACTGATCGCAAGATCGTGCTCGGGAAGATGCAGTTCAGAGCACGTACCTCGAGCCAGAACAAACATTTTCCGAACGAGCTCGCGCGCGGATGCTGACAAATGGCCGACGCTGCTGGTGCACGAACGCCGGATGTGTCCGAGCTGGTATCCAATCTTCCATCGCATCAGCATGTCGGCAGCCACCGACACCATGACATTCAGTCTGCTATCTTGGACAGTCTCCTAGAGCCTTGATCTCCCCAATATTTCCGCGCGGTGGCGGGCGCGCACGCACTAATGCAGAATGATCCCCGCAGGTTTCCACAGTCTGCTTCTTGAGGCCATCGTCAGGTATTGGGGGGTATTCGGCCGACAGTGCAACTTCCAAGCCTGTCGAATTATTTATACTATCCCAACCATCTCGCAATAGTCGCCAGGATCGAATTTCAAGGCGTCTCCGCGAATATCTGTCTGCAATTGCTTACAACAGTTGTTGCATCATGAACATGTCATTTGGAACAGTCATCTGCGTACTTGAAGCATGCAAATTCGTTCGAGCGGGCTAGATGCATCGAGCCATCCGTTGGATCGTGTCAATATCGACACCCATCGATCATGGTACGCCCCATAGGCCGACCCGATCGATGCTCTCGACGGCGTGCCTGTCATGACCGTGATATAGGATGACTGTAGACGCGCACGTGCTCTTGCACACAGATTTGTATATGCTTCGCGAATGGCCTCTTCTGTCAAAGCCTCGAAAACTTGCCCTGCGTTGACGCTGGAACTGTCGGGTGCTGCATGAGGCAATGGCAGATCGAACATTTTTGCAAAGAGGGTGGATCACCAAGGTGTTGCACTCGGTTCGCACGCTCTACGTATTCGTGTCCATGCTCTTGAAAGACCATCCATGCTTGAACACCGTGCGCGCCAAGAGCATGTACGCTTTCGTGAAGACATTTCATGTGTTCTTGCATTGCAAGCGTGCGAATAATTAGCATGGCGAAAAACCTAACCATCTGCAGTTGTGGGCACCGTCGCTGTATGCGCCGCATTCGGTGGAGCTCCCTATGGGGCTACCAAGCGTGTGAGGGGTGCGCCAAAATGGGTGCTGCAGGTGCATGCGAATGCTGGCAGTTGGGCCTTCGGTAGGGCTCCTTTTGGGGCCACGAAACGTTTGAGGGGTGTGCCAAAATGGGTGCGGTGGCCGTATGCGAATACTAGCATGTGGGCCTTCGGTAGGGCTCCCGGTGGGGTCTCGCAACGTGTGAGGTATGTGCCAAAATGGAAGCGGTGGGCGCATGCGAACGCTGGCATGTGGGCCTTCGGTAGTGCTCCCTTCTGGGGCCACGAAACGTGTGAGGGGTGCGCCAAAATTGGTGCGGTGGCCGCATGCGAACGCTGGCATTTGGGCCTTCGGTGGGGCTCTCTATGGGGCCACGAAGCGTGTGAGGAGTATGCCAAAATAGGTGCGATGGCCGCATGCGAATGCTGGCAGTTGGGCCTTCGGTAGGGCTCCTTTTGGCCACGAAACGTGTGAGGGGTCTGCCAAAATGGGTGCGGTGGCCGTATGCGAATGCTGGCATCTGGGCCTTCGGTAGGGCTCCCGGTGGGGCCTCGAAACGTGTGAGGTATGTGCCAAAATTGATGCGGTGGGCGCATGCGAACGCTGGCATGTGGGCCTTCGGTAGTGCTCCCTTCTGGGGCCACGAAACGTGTGAGGGGTGCGCCAAAATTGGTGCGGTGGCCGCATGCGAACGCTGGCATCTGGGCCTTCGGTGGGGTTTCCGATGGGGTCTCGAAACGTGTGAGGGGTGTGCCAAAATGGGTGCGGTGGCCGCGCGCGAATGCTGGCATGTGGGCCTTCGGTAGGGCTTCCGGTGGGGCCACGAAACGTTTGAGGGGTGTGTCAAAATGTGTGACCGCATGCGAACGCTGGCATTCGGGCCTTCGGTGGTGCTCCCCATGGAGCCACGAAACGTGTGAGGGGTGTGCCAAAATGGATGCGGTGGCCGCGCGCGAACGCTGGCATGTGGGCCTTCGGTGGGGCTCTCTATGGGGCCACGAAGCGTGTGAGGGGTGTGCCAAAATGGGCGGGGTGGGCGCATGCGAACGCTGGCATGTTGGCCTTCGGTGGGGCTCCCGATGGGGTCTCGAAACGTGTGAAGGGTGTGCCAAAATGGTTCACTGGTTCGGAGGGCAAAGGCAGGGATCAGAGGAGGAAGGGGAGGGAGGGAGGGGGCAACGGGAAGAGTGACGCGGGGCGCTGTCTCTTCAAAACGAGGACCCAACACCACAGGATGGTTGGGAACAACTGCTCCGATGGCAAACGTGCCCTCCACGGTTGCACGTGAGCATGCTGTGTGACAGCGCTGAGCATGAGACACAGCTTGACAATGATGTCCGATATGTCTTCTTGGTTGTGGGGTAGATGTACGGCAAAGTGCGGGCAGATACTGGCGAGAAAGGCGGCCGCAGACGCAGGAGTGTGGCCACCGCGCTGGGCAAATTAGTGGAATTGAACTCCCACGCCGGCGACCTCTGCAATGGAGCGAACCATCGGCTACGAAGCGCCAGCGATGATGCTATATACACTGTGTTCTCCTCCTCCTCAGTGTCCTCTCGTCCTTCTCGTCGTAGTCGTCGTTTTCTTCCTCCTGCTACTCCTCTTCCTGCGGAGGAGTAGGAGTAGGAGTAGGAGTAGGAGTAGGAGTAGGAGTAGGAGTAGGAGTAGGAGTAGGAGTAGGAGTAGGAGTAGGAGTAGGAGTAGGAGTAGGAGCAAGAGTAGGAGTAAGAGTAGGAGTAGGAGTGGGAGTAGGAGTAGGAGTAGGAGGAGGAGGAGCAGGAGGAGGAGGAGGAGGAAGAGGAGGAGAAGGAGGAGGAGGATGAATGGGATCAGGAGGCTGGTACGGGGCTGCAAGAGCGGAAAATGGGTCAGGCACCTTTTTGAGGCTCCCCGCCATCAACTCACAGCTGCCGTACACTGCTGGCAGTTGGTTGTCTGCGCACCCTCAGGAGGACGGAGGCTGCAGCGCGATATGTTATCCAGATGCGCTGTCGCGAGCGTCAAGCCGCTGCGCGTGTGAAGCTGTTATACTGCTACGGCCGCAGCAGGAGCAAGCGAGATCCGCCGGGCGGAGGAGAAGGGAGGAGGAGGAGGAGGAGGAGAAGGAGGAGGAGGTCCGTAGCCATTTTGGCTCAAGCCATTTTGGCTCAATCCATTTGGCTCAAGCACCCATTTCTCGAGGTGGTTCAGTGACCTAAAGTCACGTGTCTGCAGGTAGGTAGGTGGCTTTGCCTCGCCTGCGGACGCTGTCTCTTGGCCGATCGAGGCCCGCGCACCGCGGCGCAGATTGCTCGCCAGCCCAGAAGTCTGCCGAGAAGGACGACAGGAGGTTCGAGGAGGTTGAGAGGCGGCTGAGTTGCTCTGTAGTACGATATGCATGGTGGCACGGATACTCTCACGGACCCATGGCAAGGTGATGCAGGAGACCCCTTGAGGGGCAAAGGGAAGGGACCCGCCACTCTTCCCGCCCCTCTCCCTCGAGGGGGCGCTCCAGTCTGCGTGAGGACCCCGCTCCCGACTCCATCGATGACCTCCTGGCCGCATTCAAGCTCGAAGTCACCTCGGCTGTCGATGAGAAATGTGCCGCTGCTCGTGCCTCGATGGTGGGATGTATCAGCAAACATACGGCCGAACTCGTCCGCGCTGTTACCACATCACAAGAGAGAGTCAACGAACAACTGCAAGGTGAGTTGCGTGCCCTTCAGGCTGCGCAGCATCAGATGGAGTCGTCGCAGAGTGAGATGTGGAAGCAGATGGAGCAGATGCGTAATGAGTTTTCATCGCTGAGAGAGCCATGCCCATCAAGGACTACGCGAACTTGGACTTCGGGGACGGCGACCCCGACCCGACCCTTCTGGTGGCTTACCTCGCGGCCCTCGCCGCGGAGGCTGATGTCGAAACGGCACTGGTTATGTGGCTGGAGGAGGCGGAGCTCAATGATTTTCAGTTGAAGTTGATTGGCAGCCCCCCCAATCGCAGGTATGATATTCAGATGGTTGGGGGCTCGGGAGCTGCAGTGCGGAAGGTCCGCGCCGCCCGTCGTGCCCTACGCAACGAAGATGGTGTTTGGAAGGCGTTCAGTGTTGCTGCCACGGGGGGCGGACGTGCCCGTATCTATGTTGGTTTCGACAGATCTGGCAAACAAGCACGTATGGAAGTGCAAACGAAACCGTTGGCTGCCAGTGCAAAGGGTGTCCACCCCAATGCTCGCATCAAGCACAACATAATTAAGGGCAGTGTTTATATCGATGGCGTCCCGACGATTGCGATTCGGACTGGACAGAGTCTGAAAACGCGCTCCTCCTCGCTGTGCAACGATGCGTCGGTCAACGAGAGGAAAGTGGACCAGAAGGCGGTGCATGAGGCTTTCGCTGCTCACTTCTATGCGACGGAGGATCGTTTCCAGTGGACATTTTGTTCGATGCTGGATGTATGGCAGAAGGGACCTTCCACATCGGAGAAAGACTTCGCTTTCGCTACATGAACAACTCGTTCCCTTGTCCACCACCAGCAGGACATTCGACAGAAGAAGTGCCACCAACTTCGTGAGTTCAGCCATGGACATGCCATCTTCGCCTTGCAGGGGGTGCACGGCACGGCTGCTGAGCTCGCTTTCCAGCTATAATTACGCAGGCTCGACTACGGCATGTTGGCGGCGATCCGTCTCACTCGGCTGGTGGTGTTGCTATGATTCTCTTGACTATGACGCAAGCTCAACCTCAGGCTGGTCTTGAGGGAGAGCGAATACGTTGCTCAGAACTTATTCCTGGTCGTGCGCAAGTGTTGGCCATCAGGTCACCCCCTCGGACGTTTCAGGAGTAAGCCGTGCTAGTGTGCTACGACATTCACAATGTCGGCTTGTCGGCAGAGCAGACGGGCAGTCTCGCGGCCTGGATCAAAGCTGCGACGCAGGTGGCGGCTCAGAAACCTGAGAAGGTTACGGTGCTTGTTTTGGGATATTTCCGTTGCGCGCTCGGCGCGCCCATGCAACTGCGTGTCCTTGAGATCGACGAGGGTTTCCTGGTGCAGCCTCGGCAGCGTGAACATGGTGCCTCGTGGTGGCATTCGCTCGCGGACTTCCCCGAGTTGGGCCCTGAGACGCCGGCCAATTTCACAGTGGAGGACAAAAGCTGGCGGCGTTGGAAAGGTGTTTACTTCCACTCCGCAGTGGATGCTACTTCAATGGGATCTTACTGCGACTGTCTTGGCGGAGCCCGAGAGATTGCGCGGGGCTCGCGCGTCGGACCATGCCCTGTATCGGTCGCGTTCCCAGCCCGACCGCCGCGACCTCGTGGCCAGCAGCAGGTGCCGGCCTTCCTCTGCAAGGCGCTGGAGTAGTCAGGGGTGCTCCAGCTGCTCATCATCAGTCGTCATTAGAGAGGCTCTCGCCGATTCCAAAATGGAGAGAACTCAAACGTCTGATGCGGGAAGCGGAAAAGTTCGCCCGTGATCATGGCTCTCATTGCGACCCATCCTTTTGGAGCTAAATTTTTGATCTTCCGTTTGATATCTACATCGGTTCATTTGGATGGCGTGATGCTTGCCAGGGCCGTCCTCCCTCGCGCGGCCAGTGCGAGGGAATATTTTAGGATTGATGGGTCCAGCCGCGCTGTCTCGCTGTTCGCGCCGGTGGATTTTCGTCGTCAGTGCGGGCAGATGAGGCGCGGTAGTCAGGATGTTCGCTTGGCCGCCGCCTTCGAGCAGGCGCGGGCTGGGCGGACTTCGCTTCGCGAGGAGCAGCGTCTTAGACCATGTATGAGGGCAGAACGGCGAAGGGGGGAGCTCTGGGGCCTCGCGGGCCCCCCCTCCTGCCCCGCCCCTCGCTTCCCCGTCTCTCTTGGCCCGGGCCCTCGGAGAGCAGCGGGCCCATGTTTTTGCGCCAGCATCTGCCTCGCTCGGACGCCTCCGGAAGCATTTGAACGAACGCGTCGCGCCGCTTGACCGGCCCAGGGCCCCCCCTCTCCGACGCCGGAGACCATTGCGCGCGCGATGGGTCGCGCCTTGCCCGCGGCTCCTGGCCCCGATGCGCCCCCCCGCGTGGCGTGGCAGCAGGCGATGCTAGCGGCTCCTGTGCTCCTTGATTTGTTGCAGAGTCTCTTAAGTGGGCGCCCACCTCCAGTGGATCTCAATGAGCTGCTGCTAGTTTTTTGCCACCGGATGTCATGAGCGGGAGGGCTCCTCGTCTGTCTCAAGGGAACCAGCTGCTGCGAGACCCTCGGCGCTGAAGAACACGGGCGCCAATATTCTCGCATCGGGTTGCAACTTGTGTTTGAGACTTGTTCTCGCGTCGGATGCCCGCGCGGGCTGGCGAGGTTTTGTTTCGGGGGGAAAATCCATGGGCAACGTGGCTCTCCCTTGCGCGTCTGTCCGTGTAGCCGGCGTGGAGCCCGACGCTCGGGATGAGTTCCCTGCCCTGCTGCTGCTCGACTTCGGAGATGCTCTTTCTTACTTCGCCCATCTTCCCGTGGCTTGCTCCCGAGCCCATCCGCATCCCCCTCGGCTTCCAGCATGTCGCCCAGGCCGCGTGCTCACTCTCGCGTGCTTCAGTTGCCCTGCAAGGTATTTGTGCGTTCTTCTGCTACAGTGAATCAGGGGTCATGCATGGTGATCCGCGGAGTGGTTCGATGTGGGCAACGTGCATGGACCCTCTAATTCGAGACATGCGCGAGAGGCTAAAGAAATCCCATGGTCACCTGGCCGCTGGAGAGCCAACCCGTTTGCGCAGGAACTCGCTGTTGCCGCCGCCTTTTACCTGTCTTGTCCGAGATTGCACGAACCTGTTTGCTCGGCCCGCCGTGCCCCTAGTTGCGCTCTCGAGGACAATTCTTCCAGGGCCCCCATCCAGAGAACGATTGCTCGGCGCTTGCAAAAGACTTCCCTGGTCGACTCCTTCGGAGAAACCATCGTGAAGCGCATTGCGAAGTGGGCCTCGAGGCCCCCGTCTGCCCGTTCCCTGGCTGCCATTTGCTGGCCCACTTTGCGAGCTGCTCTTGCCCTTCTCTCTCTTGCCTGGCAGATTTTGATGATCAAAACGTTGGTCGGGGGGCGGGTGGCGGAGCGGCGGATGTGTCAACGAGATTGCCAGTGCAAATTCGGGTGTCGAAGCGAACTGGGTTCACAGCGCCACTGCCGCAGCTGCCCTGAGTTCCGGACGGCGGTGCTCAATGTGTGGCGGCTGCAGGATCCCATTGAAACAAAGCTGGATCGAAGGCTCGCCCTTGCTCGCTGGATGCTCGCGATCCAGAGAGCGATCCCAACGTTTTACTTGTATAGTTAATCACCGGCGTCAAGGGTGGCAGATCGGTGACCGTGCTGGGGCTTCGCGATCGCAGCTTTGACAGCAGCAAAATGAGGTAGATGTGTAAGCCTGAATGTCATTCCGATCTACGCGCGCGGAGGA